GAGAGAGGGAGGGAGAGAGGAAGGGAGAGAGGGAGGGAGAGGGGGAGGGAGGGCGAGAAGGCGGAAGGGAGGGAGAGAGGGACGGAGAGAGTGCGGCGCCTGCCCTCGGCACTGTGCCCGTTGGCTGCGGGGGTAAAGGTCAGGCAGCACCACTCACCACACAACACACAGTATAACCTTTAGGATAAAAAAAAAAACAGCTTTTTAAGAGTTTATACCGTGTGCAGCTACCGGGAGCGAGATAGCGAAAGTAATAATGAGTCACATGGGGAGAACACAGTTAATTAAGTATGCTCTCTCTCTGCAGAAATTGTACACCTACTGTGAAAAATACTCGTAAGTTTACAGGAAAATTTTCCATAATGTGATTCCGTAAAATTACAACTTCAAATTGTAAAATTACAATCACTCTCTGTTGACTTGGAACTAATCTAGGAGCAAAAGTGGGCCGTCGTAAATTTACGACATTCTTTTGTAATTCCAATTTACAAGGAATGTCCGTCAACTTTACGAGGAAATTTTTCACAGTGCCACGATGGTTGTACTCCCTATGCATGTACTTTTGGGTGAAGGCGTCACAGCCACACCTTTGTCGTGAAGTGTCAACCCATCCTTCATTTGTGTATGCTACATACTCTGTGAAAAATATCGTCGTAAATTTTCTATATGTTTTGTAATTAATACAAAATATGGGGTAGATTTAGGACACCCCCAAACTTGTTTGTCAACGAATTCCAAGTCGATTCATAATGCTTTTAATTACGTAACACTTCAAATAAAATGTTCCCGAAAACTCTACAGCTCTATTTTTTTTTCAGTATACGTGGTGGTGCACATCACCTTGCTAGGTCACATCACACATTGGTAGGCGACCCGATTTTCGGTATTAAAACACTCTTCTTGCCAAAAACAATTTGAATATGTCTTCAATTTACGAGTGTCGAATTAGCCCAGAGTATTATTGTTGGATTTTCATATTTCACTTATACTATAGTATACGCCGGTATACGCTAAGAGGGCGTAACAATCCTCCGAGCAACTGAAATTATCAGTGCTCATATGACGTCAGAGTGCTGCTCAGTCCTCAGTCATCCTTGTGCGGTCGAGTCGTCTCGTCGGCCCGCATCCAGCCCTTTCTCCCGCCGCTGACAGCGGCCAGCCCCGGTGACGGCCGTCCCTTCCGGCTCTCAGCCCGCGGACGCCACCCTACCATCAGTGGGAATGTCCCTCTCTGGTCCCTTCTTTCCTCGTCCGCGATACAAGTAGTGGACACGATCCCCCCCGCACCCCCATCCCCCCTCGGCCCGCTGCTACACCTGCGGTGCCCCCGGCTGGCCAAGGGTGGTGTGGCGGTGGTCGATATGGAGTACGGTGTCCGGCCAGAACCCCTTTTCCCCCGGTGCCCCCTCCCCATCTCCGCCCCCCAGGACTGCCCCAGAGGGGCGATCAAAAGGTCATCTGTGATTCACGCAAAGCGAAACATGGTCCGCTCTCGCTCCATCCATCCATCTTGTGCGGTGAAGAAGTGGCGGCAGAAAGTATGGGACTCCGTTCGCAAGTCGATTCGAAAGCACAAATTGCCGACAGTACATTTGCAGTAGACGTGTGGTGGGCATGGATCGGGGCAGTGGAAAAGGGGGGTGGGGGGTAATCGGTCATTCTTACTACACTGTAAAAATATTAGTCGTCACTTTACAATTTTTCCTCTCCTAAATCGGTTTCACAGATATGTCGTCACAGACCATTTACAAATATGCCGTCACGTGACAAATGCATTGTCTTTTGATTTATAATTCATCAAAGTATTGATAAGTCGTCACGTGATAAAGTAATAATCTTGTGACGAGTAATTTGTCACATGCTAAAAAGTAAAATAATAATTTAAAAAATGTTTCTGACCGAACAGGTCATTCTTTCGGTTTTGACATCACTCCGTTCTTACGGCCTCGACTTCGTTGTTAAGAGCGCATTGCGCACGTGATCACACCGTCACACATTAGTATAGTCGAACGAAGCTGCATTCAATATATACCGATGGAAAGCATGCGGAGTCGTCAGCGAGAGCCCACGGCTTCTGTTTCGTACAATGGTTTCCGTGACGGCTGCTCAATCAAGTGATAACATATTTGTGAAGTGACAAGTGGTCTGTTTTCAAAACATTACAAATCTTCAATCATGTGACAAAACATTAGTCCGGAGATAAATGATTTGTTTCATGCAGTGTGACGACTGATTTGTCATTACCATTAAAACAAAGGAGTCATCACACATGTGACAACTCATTTGTTCTATAGGCCGAAATGAATGTTTTGTCACGATATTTGTTGTCACTTCACAATAAGTTTTTACAGTGTACGTGCTCTAAATATGGTGAATGCGCGTTACTGCTGTGCAGGCAGAGTACAAATACTTCCATTATTGTCTATTTTCTGGAGCACTATTCGCTTCAACGCCCTCAAAATGTGCCTGTTTTTCATGTCCGTCGTATTCCCATCACGTAAAACAATGAAACTTTGCCGCAATCTCGCTTTTTACGCCTCATCTTGTTTTCTTTATTCATCCTGTCCGGTTCATTTAGTCAAGGGTCGCATCCGGAATGCATTTCCCTCGGGAGCGGAGGACTGCAGCCCCGGCCATACCCCCGCCCCCCCGCCATCGCCGGCTGCCCCGCCATGCCCCGCCACCTGCACCACGTCCCACCCCTAGCCCCGACCCCACTGCTAAAACAAATGTAGAAAGTGACACACCAAGTGATGCAGTTTCAAGTGTGCACAGTTCACACACTTCTTGATGTCGACCTACAAACTGTAATAGTAAATCAAATCAGCGTGCAAAGTTTTGTCTAATTTGAAGTAGACATTTTTCCAATCGTTGAACTTACTAGCGTTTTCTTGCCATGAAGAGTAATTCAGTTTCACCACTGCGTAATATGCAAAATCATAAGTTACACACATGCGTCTGCAATCTGTGCACATTTGTTTTCCCACTGCCGCCCCGCCAAGCTCGCGTGATGCATTATTCCTTCCCCACTTTGGCGGTGCCTGTGAGGGCGCTTGGTGGGAGGGGAGGGGGGGGCACCAGCGGTGATTGTGCCGTAAAGTGCTACTGCGCCGCTCCAGGACGGGGACAAAGACCTCATCCGCTATCCAGCCACTCCACGCCTCCGAGAGGGCGCGGAGACTGAAGGGAGTCGTATAAAAATGTTTCTCTATACCCACCGCCGAACAACAACAGAAATAAATGAGCAGGGTTACAACACACGATAAAAAACAACGTCTTGGTTTTCAAGCAGTTTTAGAAAAAAACAATACGTTCCCATGCATATCTTCCATAAACAATGCTTCACTGGAAACGCATGTGTGTGTATGTTGCAGACTTGCAAGTGTGTGAATGCCCATTCGTCCACTTAAGGGAGAAAAGGCTTAATTTTATTTTTAGAATGACACTTGCGCCTCTATGTGTGCAAATGGCGTTCACTCACACAACTACAACGACATCCACCACAGACTTGGAAACCATACAGGACGTCGCTTTTTTTTACCGCCCAGTTTTTGTCAACGTGTTTTGCCTCTGTCCTGTTTCAGGTGGTGGTAGGCGATGTTCGCGGCGGCGGGCGGCGCGTCGCTCGCTAAGCGCCAGGCGCGTCGCAACGTCCGCAACAAGCAGCACGCCCACCAGCACCCGGTGCCCGTCGAGCTCCACCCGCACCCGCCCGCGCCGCGCCACCTGCAGGTGCAGCACCTGCAGCCGCGCCTCTCCACCGCGTCCGCGCACCACCTGTACCGGGCGCCCAGCCACCGCCGCCTGTCGTCGTACGCCGACCTCAATGGACGCATTGTGGGCTTTGGCAGCATTGAGCTCGCCGAGGTGCGCTGCACGACCAGTCGACTACCTTGACTTCCATTATTATTATTACTACTACTTTTGATATTATTGTGTCCGCAATGTTGTTGATGTTGTTGCTATTGTTGTAGTTACGAGAGGTACTAGGAAGAGGAAGAGGACGCACTGTGCGAAAAAACAAATAGCGTTATGGTTGTGATACGTAATTCTTTTATTCGGAAGTTATGTTCTTTATATTTTTAAACTACTAAATGTCTTAACCGTCGATGACTTCTAACTATTGCGTGATCAGTGTCACAACGCATACTGCTTTTTTTCTACAGTGGGGCCCTCGCGTAGGGCCACTTACGGTCACCTTACTTAGGGATTCGTAGGGAAGCTGTGTAGGGAAGAACCTCAGTTTGGTGTTGTAGGGCCCCTTAGAGACCCCCACATAGTCGTATAGCTGTAGCTAGAGACCACGTATACATTACTTTTTGTCAGTCGACAGTCTGTGTCATTCTGCACCATATTTAGAGTAGTGCATGAGAGTATTCGAGGACCAATAGTCGAAGGATGACGAGTAAACTCTGGATCGACGTTATTACCCAGCCCTTTGGGCGCCTTTAGGTCTATATTCTGACCTCTAGCACCCGTAGAGTTGCGGTCCAATGCACCCCTCCAGCAACCATGTGTCTCTGACGCGACATGAGTTAAATCATGAAAAATTGAAAAGATGAACTGTGAAATCAAATCAGGCAGGTAGGAGTGGGTGCTGGTCCTGCTTGAGTACTATACAAGTAGTGGTACCTTCGTTATAATTCAGAGCCATTTTGTGAGCGGATACCATACGGGTACTGTTAGTCAGTATCAAACCTCATTTCAAAACTACACCCTTATAGAGCTCTATACAGTTTTCTTCATCTTTCTAACATTATGTATCCTTCCTTTTCCCTCAATATTGTCGAGTAAGTTTTGCATTATTGTTTTCTGTTCTGATCCACCTCTGTTTCTGTCTCCTTTTTTCTTCACATCAACTCCATCCATCTTCACAAATATTTATCGATATATCTATAGTTTGTCGTATATCTCTCGTCTCTTTTTGCTGCCTACCTCTACCTTCCTCTCTTGTTGTAGTTTTCCAGGTATGTTTTTAACGGTGCCGTTACCACTCATGCCGACCCTGCTGCTGCAGGAACCGCAGGACCAGCAGCAGGAGCAGCAGCAGGGTGCCTGCTCGGTGCCCTGCAGGAGGGGCCTCGGGGGCGCAGAGGGCTGCAGGGAGGGCTGCAGGAGGCCGTAGTCCGTTAGGCCCTCCGCGGGGTAGGCGGCGCGGGCGCCTGGCGCCTAGGGCCCCGCACGGGGTAGGCGGCGCCTAGGCGCCCCCTCCGGGCCGTCCGCAGGAGGTGCTGCGCGATGCAAGCGGCCATCTACATTCGGGAGAAGCAGAGACTCCGGCGGAAGAGCAACTTCGCCAGGCGCGGCCGGCAGGATCTGCCGAGCCACGTGGCCACGAGGGAGATCGCCCCCTTCCCTCAGTACCCGCCGCACAACTGGGTAAGAGCCATGCGAGGGCGCCCTAGGGGGGAACCCCAGAGGGGGCACCCCAGGGGGGGCACACGAGCGTGGAGCCTCTGGTCCAGCCTCTGGTCCAGCCTCTGGTCCAGCCTCTGGTCCAGCCTCTGGTCCAGCCTCAGCCACACCGGCACGCCCGGCGGGCAGGCGGGTAGGCCGCTGACGGCCGCTGTAGGTGTAGGCCGCGCCTCTAGAGACGTAGGCCGCGAGGGACGCGTGCTGCAAGGGCCCGTCGCTCTAAAAAAAATATACCACTTTCATCGCTTTGAATACCACCTCTCTGGCCGGCCGAGCGCGCCGTCGCCCGCCTACCCGGTGGGCTCGTTGGTGTGGTTTGGGCGTGAGAGTACGTCGGCACAGAGGGAGTGAACTCTTCGGAGGGTGGTTAGAGAGTGAAGGCACCACTCGTTACAAAAATAAATAAATCATATAATAATAAAAATTGAAAAACCTTTCTTACCTGGCCTTTATTTTCAGTTGGACTTTGGACGTTGTTAAGAGGGCCAAAATAGGCCCCTTTCTGGTGCCTCTTGAGTCACAGGAAGCCTGTGGTTACTCTCTCTTTCTCTGAACTAACTCCCTTTTTCGTACACTCCACGTCGGTTTAACTATGTTGGCTAATTCTTCTGCTTTTCAGTTAGAAAATGTAGGCCAACTAATGGAGCCACCACCTTATTTCGCTCTCTATCGCACTCACTTCTTTAGACCATCCTCCAGTATTGAGTTCCTCTCTCTCTATCTTCCTCCTTTAGCTCTACGTCTCTCGCTCTCCACCCTGTCTATCGCTCTCTCATTTCTCCCTCTCCCTCTTCCCTAGCTCACTCTCTGTATGATGTGCAGTCCTTCCTTCTCCCATGCCCCTTTCTCTCTTTCTCTAACCCCGTATGTGAATGACCGATAAGTGCAACAGCTTGTCTCTTTCCCTCTCTGTCTTTCTCTCTCTCTTTAAGCAGCAACTCGGCGAATGACTTTCCGGTTCTCTTTGTGTGGCGTTGGTGTGTCCCCTCGCCGGGCCGGGCCGGGCCGGGCCGACCGCCTTGCCACCACACTACTCGTTGCCTGCCTCACCACTATTCGTCACCCCCATAACCATACCACCCACCTGACGTTGCAGGGAACAGCGGTGCACTCCAGCGGCGCACACCGTGAGCCAGTCCAGAGGCGGAGACCATACACCACAAGTCATTTCTGATAATGAGAAGTTGATTACTGTTTGTGACGAGAATCGTTTCTTTCATTTCTCGCCTCCATCCATACCCATAAACTAACCTGTGCTCCTCTTCTTTTCGCCCCCCCCCCAAATAATCATCTCTAAAGACATGCAAGTTTTTCAGATGTATACCTCTTATACAGTACATTTCTCGGCCTAGGCCGCCGCGACCCCAGACTCCGCCACGCCTCCACCATACCTCTCCACCCCACTGCACCCCTACTCCACTTCACCTAGACTAGACTCGTCGCCACTAACATGATACGTCTCATCTCCACACGCAGGCCATCGCAGGCAGACAGGCAGGCCGGGCGGGTGGCGGTGGGGACGCCCCGGGCCCGGCCCGCCCCGTCCGGGCCCGTCCACGCCATGCCCGCTGCAGGCAGACCCGCGGCTGTCGGCGGCGCCCCCGTGCGGCCGCTGCATGCTGGGGGGAAGGGGCTGGGGCAGGGGCATGCGAAGCCTTTGGCCGTCGCCTGACTTGCATGATATATTCTTTGTTGCAGTTCAATGTATTTTTGTTTCTTTATTCTCCCCCCCCTCTCTGCCTCTCTCTGTCTCTCTGTCTCTGCCCCCTGTCTCTCTCTTTGCTCTACGTTAACTGTTGTGTGTCGCTCTCTCGTCGCGCATCGCTGCGCATCGCTGATGCTGGGCTGATCGTTCTCGCTGCGTCTGGACTCGTCTTGTCTCCTCTGCGAAATCGTAATCGTGAGTGTCTCTCCTGTGTCTTTCTGTCTCCGCTGCACGCGTGCCTCACTCATCACTTGTCTCCCTCTGTCTATTTTTCTCATTACCTCTTTCTATATTCTACCTTCTGTCTCTGTCTCTCTATCTCTGTCTCTGTCTCTCTATCTCACCACTCACCTCCCAAATCTTAAAACGATCTCTGTAACTATCAACCTCCAACTTTTCTCTCTCTGCGCAACCGTTTTCTCCTTTTATTTTCCTGTCTCTTCCAGGCGTCTCACGATCCTTCTCTCTCGCACTGTGGGCAGGTAAAAACGCTTCAACGCATGCTGCATGTGACTGGTTCCGTTCGTTATGACTCGGCCTACCTCTATACTTATTTCAAATGTCTTAATTTTTCATCCTCACAACATGTCTAGAGCTCTCTTTTTTTCTCTCTTTCACTGTGTCTCTCCTCACACGTGACTCAACGACTTGCGTTGTGTTGTCGCACATGTCCAATGATCGGAGCGACGTGCTTTCTCTGTGACGTATGGTGGAGGTCAGAGCGCGCGCCGCGCTTGGCCGTAGCTGAGCGCTCGCGACACCCGCGGATGAAAGTACCCGTAAGTACACCACACTGCAGACGTAAACAATAAAATCGTCCAGCGTCATGTTAAAAAGAAAAATAAATCCTAAGAGGAGACATCGTAGGGCGTCGAGGTTTGTTTAGCTTTACATTGTGATTTGAATGGAATCACGACTCTTCCCTTTTTGTCCCCGCCCCTTTAATTCCACCACAGCCGAGCTCTGGCCGCGGCCCTGGACGCCGCCCTATCCGCGCGAACGGGACAGGTGCCGCCCCCTGCTGGCCGGCCCGCGAAACGCGACGCGTTTGTCGTCCGCTAGGTCCGCGCTGTCTTCGAGCGCCCCCTGGACGGGCGACGGGGGAAGTGTACCCCACTGTGTGAAGGACACGCGCGCGCGACCAGGGGACGGTTTGAAAGGGGGAGAAGGGGAGGGGGGTGGGTGATCCCTCTGGCCAGGGTGCCCGATGGGCCGGAGCAGGAGGGTAAGGCTGGGCAGGGTGGCGAGAGGGTGAATGAGCGCGGCCCCCGCCGAGGGCCGCCAGGGGCCGCCGGGGCCACGTAGTATATATGTCATGTCCTGCATCCGACAACGTGGGCACGTTCCTCCCCAATGGACGGTCCAGAAGATCAGCGACCTCGAATTCACACACCGAGATATAGGCGCGCGCGTGGAAAAGACCGAGAGACGGGCAGACGCGAGCAGACGGCATAGCAGCCGCCGTTGTGTGGGCCGCCGGCTCCACACAGCTGTTCGGCGGGTTGGCCTAGGCTGCGCTCTGCAGGCGCCTTCCGTCGCGCGGTCCAAGCGCCCGGCGGCGCCGCCCGTCAGAACGATACTTGCTCCAAAGGTGTCCCACATTTATTTCACGTCGCGTCGCCTCGGGGGTAACGAATCATTGTGGGCCTGCCTCGCCGTGACATATACGAATGCCGGTTGCGTTTGACTAACAAAAGCGTAACGTTTTCTATTTCGATACCTGACCCCATTGTTTTCTTCCTCTTCAAAAACACAACTCGGCTTCCAGGAGTCAATATGGCAGTGTAACATTCTTTGGGATTCGAGAGGTTCGATAAAAGTTTGACCCCTGTCGTACTCCACCCTCCACCCAGGGGTGGACGTCGTTTCCGCGTCGAAGACTCATTACGCCCCCAGCCCAGAACAAAGCTTGACTTGGGCCGCGATCGATCACGTGACTTATCCACAGGTGGAAGGGGAGTCGGGTTTACAGCGCGCCAAAGGACGAAAAAGGCTGAGTGAGATTGTCGCACACGAGACACGAGACGAGACGGGGCTGTGTGCCGAGTTGCGGGCCGGGTCAATGCTAAAGAGTTTGGCGCAGCGAGTGGCGTCGTCTCACCGAGGCGCGCCGTGGAGCATTTCAGTGTCTTCCTTCATACGGGAACGAGATTATGCTAAAGGGAGGCGCAGCGACGGCGGGGCTGCATCCGCGGGCTCTGCGCACTCTAGCGCGGGGGGAGGTCACGAATGCATCGCTGGGCAGCGGCCCGGGGGGTGGGCGGGCCGGGGCGGCCGAGGCATCACTTGGGGGGCTTCCAGTGTACGGGCCGCCGCCCTGGCCGCGCAGGACGGGCCGGCGGGGCGCAGGCGTAGAGGCGGGGGAGGGGGTCGCGGGGGCCTCCACATCACTCAGCTGTGCGGCCCCCGTGCCCCCCGGGCGCCCCCCTGGGCCGATCCGCCGCGCTGTCAGTCAGGCAGTCAGCAGTCGATGCCGGCCAGGCTGTGGGCGAGCCTTGGCCGTGCTGCGGACAGGCCAGGCGGGCGCAGCAGAGTCACGGCCCCCGACGTACCCGGGACGCGGTGTCGCAGGCGATGGCGACGGCCGTGTCGAGGACGCGGTGTCGGCCCGCTCGCGTCCGCCGCCCGCCCGCGTCGCCGTGCTCCTGACGGCCGTCCCCGAGGACGTCCCCGGCCCGACCAGGACGCCCTGAACGGCCCGCCGGATGCCGGGACTCGTGCCGGGGAGTAGTGTGAGGACGCTACGAACGCAACGGTCCGACCCCGGCTCCAGCAAGAAGGGTCCCGCCAAGGGCAAAGCCAAGGGAGGCAAGGCGTCCTGGCCGCCCGCGCGCGACGTCATCGCCTCGGCCAAGCCCAAGGGCAAGACCAAGGGCAAGACTGAGGACAAGTCCAAGGCGAGGCCGTCACCCGCGGCCGCCAAGCCCGTCGTCGCCAAACAGCCCGCCAGCTCCAAGCCCCCCGGCAAGCCGCCGAGCAAGCCGCTCCCGTCCATCGGGCAGGCGAAGTCCCCGGCGCAGGTCACCGCCGCGGCCAGCAAGGCAACCAGCAAGGTCCTCGGACCCGCGCAGCCCCCCGGCGCCAAGCATGGCGTGCTCCCCGCCCTCAGCCGGCCGCCCAGGCCACCGCGCGTCGACGACGGCCCCAGCACCTCGTCCAAGGCCGGCGGCGTGGCCGAGCCCTCGCGCGCGTCGCGCGCGCCCGTCGACCACGTCGAAGCCGTCCGCAAGAAGCCCAACGGGACGGCGGGGGGCGCGGGCCTCGTGGGCCGGCAGGGCTCTCTGGAGCAGACGCCGCCCGGGGCCGCCCGCGGGGTCACCGCCAGTGCCCCGGCGCCGCCAGAGGTGGGTAGCCAGGGTGGGGGGCAGAGGATTCCGGACGGGATGACGCGATGGCCAGCTGTATTGACGCGTCATTGATTTAAGTTGCCCACGCAAGGGGGGTGGAAGGGAAGAGGGGAGGGGAAAAGGGGGCACTTCAGGTTCACGATGTGGGTGTGATCCACGTCGTCGGCCGGGTAGCATTACGCTGCTCACAATGTGTTTTGTGTGTTAGCATCTTCACATCGTCCAAACTTTTCGCACGTGTGTATGTCTATGCGTGTATCGTAGCTGATTTTTTAGGGACAGGAAATTCAATGAAATGTCATACAACAACAACAACAACAGCAAAACTACACCCCTCAACCGCTGATGCCACACGGGCGTTGAACTTCCCCTCTGATCCGTGCCGTCGTTGAGTGTTTCTGGACGTGGCGTGCGTATCACGGGACCAGGGTACATGCACCATGCCTCCTCCGTGTACAGCACAGCTGAGCACAGCTGTTCCAGCACCCCTCCGCCCCGCGCTCCCCCTCCGCTCCGCGCCGGTCCGGCCGCAACCCTCCGCAGCACAGTCGGCTTTCTTCTTTGCTCCAGTTTTCCTCGCTGCCCAGACCAATAACCTCTTCTTTCTCCGTCCGGTTCCAAGAAGTATACGCGACGTGACCAGCCAGGAGGGCTGTTTGAACCGTTTGAGTTTGAGCGCGCCCAGAGTCGCGCGCCTGTTTCGGGGCTCGTCTCGTGGAGGTGGCCAGCGTCCCTCGCAGTGTCTCGTGTCTCCCATCCCTCCGCAGCCCCCCCCCAGGCCGAGCGAGCGATGGCCGCTGGCGCCGGGAGAAACTAACTCGCGTAGACCCACTTCTGTGTTAGTGAGAACGGTCGAGCAAGCAAGCAAGCGAGAGGGAGAGAGAGAGAGTGAGAGAGAGCGCGCGCGCGCATTTGTGTGTGTGTGTGTGTGTGTGTCTGTGTGAGCGTGTGTGTGTGTGTTTGCTCGTAGGACGTTTGCCGACCGCCACCCCAACGCGAAACAACATTTTAATCTGGTAATGGACTCCGCGTTCGCCTCGCGCTGCACTCTTGGCCTCGCGAGGACTCTTCGTGTCGTCCTTCCGCAAGCTCGGACGGCCCTCCCCCGCGGACGACAGGCCGACAGCGCCTCGTGTTCTTGCCGCTGATTCGAGTGCCGTCCGAGGTACTTTTGCTGTGCTCTTCTTCCGCCTTCCTCATCATTTTTTGGGGGCATCTCCGAATCACAAAATGGCTGTCCTCTTTCGCCTGCCTGTATCCGCATGCTACGTGTGTAGAGTGTAGTGGTGTTGTGGCGTAGCGTAGTGCATGGCATGCCGCCCCACTTGAGCTTTGTACAGATATACACCCTCGAGAACGGCATGAAAATGAAAAAGTTTCATGTCGAGTTGACGGGGACATGCCGCTTTCTCCTCTACTCTTCAAGCCTCTTTCTCTTCTTGAAGCTGAGACATCTTTCCTGTCTTGGAAAGACCGGCCCTATTTACATAAGGGGAGTGATTATTTCCACGCGCACCGTGTGGATATTTTTAGACTCTACCATCTCGCCAACAGGAATCAATATGAATAAAGTAAACAGGAAAAGTTCATTAACACATTCTCTCTTCCGTGAAAATAAAATAAAAAATCACGATGGTACGGGGAAGGGGGTGGGTGGGGGATCTTGTCCTTTCAGAGAGGTAAGGATGGCGAGGGATGTTGGGTGGGGTCGGGAGGGGAGGGGGGCACCGGGCACCTCGGGGCACGTGCACGCGTGGCGCCCCGCGCTCTCGCACCCTCTGTCGCACACGTGTATACTATTCTCGTCTCTCTCTCGCAGGGCAAGGCGGCATGGCAAGAGCGCGAGAGGGAGCGAGACAGAGAGCGCGGCGAGCGGCGGCCGTCGGCTTGCGAGGCGGGCATCAACCACCGCGTCAAGTCTACCGAAGCCCGGCGGCGATGGATGCGCCGCAACAGGGTGAGCGCGTTGAACAACCAGAGCGTGAACGGGGGTCGAGGAGGTGGGGGTTGAACAGCACTGCTGGAGCGTGAACAACGGCCGGAGGTGGGGACGGCTTTTTAGACAGAGGAGAGAGGTTCAGGCAATTGGGCATGTGGAGTCATAAAAAGTCCATTGAAACAATGTACTTAAAAATTGAAAACAAAAACAGCAACAGGAAAGTGTCATTTTAAAAAGGAAACATTTTGCTTTGCTACAATTTTTTAAGGGAAGAAAGTTAGGAAATTCATTTGTTTCAAATCGTCTTCAAGCCGTTAATCACACTTTGAGGTGGTGTCAGAAAAAGAATACTCTTTACTCTGTAGTGTCGCGTCGTGTAGAGCCTCGCACGCCACGCGGGGGCCGCGAGGAGCGGCTGCGTGATGCGAGAGACAGAGAGAGTACAGGAGGGCCTGGCCCGGGCCATGGGGATCGATCCTCTATGGGCCCTCTATGGGTCGGTCAGGGCAGGGTCGCGCCGACCGTCGACCCACTCCATCGGTAGACCACCCACGGCAGCGGCAGACCCCACGGCCGCATCGGGGAGAGGGTGCAGCGGACCCGGACGGCCCGCCGGGCCGGCGGCGCCGGGCCACAACCAGTTGCAGCCAGGAAGACAGCGGATGGCGTGCAGGCGCCGGCGGCACAGAGGGAATGAGGGGGGGG